GGGGTCATGCTGGGGACAATCGCTCTATCCCGGGTCTGGGTGCCACAGTGGAAAATTCCTGACCTGTGGGACGACCCTGCTCCTTTCCCGCCAAATCCCATCCCGTTAGCAGTTGATGGGGCCGACGATGCCCAGCCCGGGAGGCAGAAGGAAAAGGCGGTGGTGAACTTGGGTCCGTGGGGGACGAAGCCGAGCGTGCACGCGAAGCAGCTAGAGGACAGTCCTGGCTGGGTCTTTCGGAGACGGCACAGCTTAGGTGGTGAGCACGCCTGCCCGCCCCATTTGGTCTTCCTGCAGAGTGGGCCTGCCGAACGCCCTGGCTTGGATGCAGGGCTGAGTTCTCCGCCTACAAGGGCCAGCCACTTGCCTCGTTCATTGTTAGTGGGAAATTCAGTTCTCTGGTTGTAGGTGCAAATCGCCCAGCTTGTAGGTACAAATCTCCCAGTATGCCCAAGCCACCTCCTGCCTCCTTGTTGCATAGCCACTCCTTGTCATACCCCCGCCCATCTGGAGGCTCCTGTGTACTGGGGACCTGACTTTTCGAGAAAATACCTGACACTTAGCTCAGAAAATATTTGCCCTGAATCTATAGCCACTGAATGGGAGAGCTGGAAGCAATTTAGCAAACAATCGATGGGATACGGAAGAGAGATCCACACAGGCTTCTCCCAAACCTCGGAGTTCTCTGAGAGCTTGGTTGGGAACTCCAGTGCTCCCAGTCCCTGTTCCACTGCCCTCGGCTACTTTGAGTTCCACGGTTTTCCCATTGATTTGCTCACTCTACATAGGCTGTCAGCCGTTTTAAAGCGCTCGATTGGGGCCACAAAGATGACAGTCGGGGCATCTACCTTAAGGTGCAGAGAACCTAATTTTGGAAGCTAAGCCAAGGACACAAATCATTTATTCACTTGCTTCTCCATTCCTTCCACAAGTAGGTGCCCGGCACCCCTCCAGGTTCTTGGGGAACAGACATGCATACAATCGGGTTCTATCCTTAGGGAGAAGGGAGCGGTGATAAGCAAGTACAGAAGTAGACTATCTACTCACCTCCGGGGTGAGGATCAAGTGCTACAGAGAAAAGGGGGGCCGTGGAAGTAGTCATATACAGTGAACCCTCGCCACTTCACGCTTCGACTTCCGCGGCTTCACTCTATCGCGGTTTTTGCGTAACAGCGCATGCTCTGTCATTACTGCCACTGATTGGCTCATACTGTACACGCTTGATGCCATAAGTAATATAATAAATAATAAATGATAATTGTAACGTCCAAAATGTTTTACTGTATTTTCCCTTTTTCGTTTAATAAATTGGGTAATACGAGTGTAATGGTGACTAAAGGGTGTTTTTTCATGTCCTCTATGCTCTAACTACGAAAATATTTGATTTACAAATAAGGAATCCTACTTCGCGGAATTTCATTTATCACGGTAGGGTCTAGAACCGATTAACCGCGATAAACGAGGGTTCACTGTACCCCTCAGGGTAGCCTTTCCTAAAGAGATGCCATTTTAACAGAGACCCAACTTCAGTGAGGGGCCAAGTCTTGTGTGTACCTGGAAGAAGAGGGTTTCAGACAGAAGAACCAGCAGGCCCAAAGGACATGAGGCAGAAGCGGGGTTGGGGGGTTCAAGGAGCCAAGAAAGCGACTGAAGGGGAGATGGCACAGGCTGAAGAGGGGGATGGGAGCCACATCTCAAGGACCCTGGAGGCCACTGTGAGGACGTGGACTTTGACCTGGGTTGGAAGCCAATAGCCGGTTTTGAGCAGAGGGGTGCTATGAGACTCAGGGAGTCGGTCTCTATTTCGAGTCGGCTGGAGGTGAGCCAAGAGTGGGAGCAGGGCGGCGACTCGTTAGGAGGGGAGCTGGGAGAGCGGATGGTAGCTTGCTCCGAAGTGGTGGTGGCAGTGGTGACAGCAGAGAGGAGCGGCCTGAGTGTCTGTTGAAGAAACAAGGATAGAGTTGTCGATGTCTTGGACGTGGGCCGTGAGAGAAAATGGCAGTTGAGGCGGTAACTTAGGACCTGGTACAAAGAAGGTTGGAGGGGGCGATTTCGGGAAATGGAAGGCACGGCAGGTACTTGTGGTCCTCAGTAGCGGAGGTTTTCTCTGGCAGCAGAGATGCCCGTTCAGGTTCTCGGCTTCTTAGGACGAGAGGTTCGGAGGCAGCATTCATTGTGTCAAAGGAGAGCGAGAAGATCCTTGGCGAGGTGGAGGCGTTGGAATTAGTCCTGCCTGTGAGCCAGACGGTCTAAAACAGAGTGACGAGACAGGAAGGCGTCTGGGGAGCCAAGCTGCCCTTGGTGTCAGGAGAGGAGAGGGCGGGGAACGAGGCTGTGGCCATCAAGTGGCGTGGTGAGACGTGGGGTGACAAGTGGCCTTGTAAAGGAAAAATTGTCTGTCGGGTGGCAGAATGGAACACAGGAAAGTGTTGGCTGACGTGGCCCCCTCAACTATCAGTGAACAGGTGTTGGTGAGGTGGCCTCGGCGACGTCATTTCCGGTGAGGCTCAGGTTGGGTGAGGGATTCGGTCTGACAGTAACCTTCAGTTGAAGCAACAGTGTATTCTGATGGGAGGAGGTACTCAGGGCCCATCTGCTGCAGCCCAGACAGGAAGTTCAGGAACTCTTCCATTGGACTTCCGCCTTCCCTCTCAGGCCCCCAGTGCCTCCTGTTTGTATGCAGAACTCCAGTCCAACTGCGGGCCTGTCATTGAGCCTCTAATCCAAGAACCAAGCCACACCCCTTGCCAGCAAGTGGGTTCCGATTCACAGCATTTCTGAGACCGTCAGTCTTCACGGGGCAGACCTCCTCATCTCTCCTGGGGAGAGGCTGGAGGGTTTGAAGCACCGACCTTGCGGTTAGCAGCCAATGCCTAACCCACAGTGCCACCAGGACTCCTGAGCAAAAAAAATACAAACAAGGGAGCACAATTTTCCTCTGGGAAGTAGGTGGCTGGAGTGTCTGCTGTCATCTCAGCGCCCCTCCGATTCTGGTTGCCTAGAGGATCCAGAGAGCCAGGCCCAGGAGCCGCAAAGCCAGAAGTCCTGGGCAGAGAGCGGGATGTTGGTGGTAAGAGAACCCAAGTACCCAGCTCCCAGCTCTCCATCCGTGCCATCTACTTTCTTCTCAGCAAATCAGACTCCGCTTTTCAAAAACAGTTTATTTCAAAAAAACAAAAACAGCTTATTTCAAACGCACAATGAAGATGGGGGAGCACCGGTATAAAGTGCTTGTCCTTTGAGCTGGGGTGAGGGGAGGGAGGAAAAGGGACAGGTTTTGTGAGTGAGCTCCCGCCATGGGGGATTCCCTAGTTCCTCGGAGATGAAAGATGGTCTCTATCTCACAACTAAAATTTTAAAAAGCAGGGGGGTATGAGGATGGGCGTGGAGGTCCATCCCGCCCAATCCCGCTTCAGTCTCCTACCACCCAGTGTACAATGGAGAGTTCAAGGAAGTAGCAGTCACATATAATCTCTGAGAATGAACAGAGGAAGGCAGGTCTTCAGTGTGTGCAATGGATTTCTCCAGAGGAAAGAGGAGGAAAAGAGGAGAGGAGTCGGGGGTGTCCTCCTCCAGGCTCGGCACCAGGGCCAGGGTGGCTGTCTGCTCCTCTCTGGTCTCCTGAAGTAAATGGCGGGCAAAGGCCTGCTCCAGCTGTACAGAGAGGTGGGGAGGCGCCGTCAGTGAGCGTGCAGGGCAGGGCAGGCGCTGCCTCCTGGGTCACCTTCCCCCAGACGCTCCCCCTCCTCCTGGAAATTCTACCCAGCCTCCCCATGTCCTCCCACCCAGTCCACCCTAGCCCTGAACTCACCTGTACTGTAATCAGATTTTGTGAGGTGTGGTTAGGGCCAGGACTCTCCTCCCAGAAATTCAGGGTTACCTGATACTTGGGTGGGGGACCCAGGCCTTGCTTATACTTGGCCACATCTGAAAGGG